GTCGAGCGTAGTTTACGCACGGTTACTGTGTTCTACGCATTCACAACTTGTTCACGCTGTATCATATAAAAAACGATTACCAAGATTCGTTACGCAAGACCAAGTTTTGATTTAGTTGCATTTTGAAGGAGTGGGCGCTTTGCCGAATGTGACCCCAAATATAAAAATTGTGCAAAAGTGGGGGGTACGGTATATACCAAGTTTGAACAAAATCCATCTGTAAACAATCGAGAAATGCTTGATTTTGATGATTTTTAGCACAAAAATGGCGGCCATTCAGCCATCTTGAATCAGATCAAGAAACAAATTGACGTGCATATGTATAATATCATGTATGATGTATGTGTTCAGTTTGATTGTGATTAGTCCAGGCATTTCTAAGATAAAGGTCCGGACGCACGGACACGCGCACGGACATACGCACGGACACACGAAGGTCAAAACATAAGTCCCCGTTTTCGGACTGCATTCGAACGGGGACTAATTAGGTAATTAATATATACAGATATTCTCCTAAAAACTATCAGGTCTGTGCAGTGTCCTATGACATCTATGTACCAAGTTTCATTGAAATGTGATGTTTAGTACTTGAGACATCAGTGAAAAAACGAAAAATGACTAATCATGCAAATTAGGTAATTAATATGCACAAATTTTTACCAAAAACACATCTGCGCATTGGCTCAGAGCATCTATGCACCAAGTTTCATCAAAGACCGATGTATGGTTCTTGAAATAGCAGTGGAACAGACAGACACACATACTCACACATACTGACTAACTGCAAAGACTCCAATTGTGTGCTTCGCACATGGGAGTCAAACAAAAAATTTCATCACTTATTGTATTTGAACTAAGTTTGAAAGAAATGCTTTTTAAATTTGTTAATGTGAGTGGAATGGATGGTATAAGGGGAGATGACTAGGCAATAATTTGAGTTTACACACGAATTATTATTTGACATGTCATTTGCTGAATGTTTTTGGTGAAATAAAGATAGTGTACACTCGAAAATGGACTGTCGGGAAAATGTTTAGTATCAGTACTAATTTACTAATAAATGGAATGTAGGTAGTAGACTGACTTCCATGATAGAGGACTGATGTTAGTACATGTA